TAAAAAAATATTTTAACATATTGTAATTTATTATTTATTAGACTGGTAGTGCAAATTTTGCCGCCCCTCAAAATTTGCCGCCTGGAGCAAATGCTCCATTTGCACCTAGTATAATGCGGCCCTGTAGATAGATATAGCCAGGGCCGGATTAAGCCATCCGTAGGTCATAGGCACTGAAAAAATTGAATTCTATAACATAGGCACTTTTGAATACAATTTTTTCTTTTGTAAACAATTTGATTAAACCTACATTAAAATATTTAATATTTGGGAGAGGTAGTGTTGAATCTCAGTATTTTAAGCCTTTAAAAAAAAAATGATTTACAACATGAAAATCAAATATTAACTTTTATAATTATAAAATAATAATAAAAAAAAAAAATATTACAGAAAAATCGTAGGCCCCTAAAATGTTCGTAGGCCCTAGGCACAGTGCCTATAGTGCCTATGCCCTAATATAGCCCTGTAATGACTATAGTTTTCGGGCTTATGATCAATAAAAAAAACAGACGCTCATAAAAAAATATTTGAAGAATTACGCATTCAACCTTTTTTTAGCTTTTCCCGCAAGCAAGAATTATATAGAATTTCATATCATATTTTCGGGAGATTGTAAATTCCGCCCGAAATGAACAGGTAAAAATTAGATCTAGGGTAAATTCCGCTTGGGAAAATATCCAAGCAAAAAAAGGAACATGTGAATTCCGCCCAAAAAAATATACACGTACAAAAATGAATTTGTAAATTCTGTCTGAAAAATAAATATTTTTAAACTAAGCGTTCAGTGACTGTACCACGCGTTGACGCGACCGTACTGTTCGCTACGCGGTGTGTTATACATATAGTATTTGGAACTTTGTAAGTTCCAAATGTACATACACTGAACAATCGTCAATCATGTCATATCTCATCAGCTTTGAATACAATATTGTGGATATAACAATTGGAAATATCAGATAGAAGTATTATAAAATATAAATTGTTTGATCACTTAAGTTTCTATAATGGCAGCTCAATTTATTGAATCGGAACGTAGAAATAAATTGTTAGTAAGTACTATAGGATATATTTATTTAAAATTAAAAAAATTAATTTTTTAAAATCTGAAATAATAATTGTGTTTTTAGTAGAAAATATAGWAGAAAAATATAAAAATAATGAAATCTTTATAGATCAATATGTAGAAAATGTGGCTTATTATTTTAGGGATTTCGGCAAATAAAAATAATAATATGAAAGGAATTTGATAATATGTTAATTAACAATTATTGATTACCTATGATTATATTTAGACCCTTTTATTACAAATATATTACTATTTTACTATTATATTTCTATTTTTTATATATACATGACATGTTGTAATTATTGATTATGATTATATTTTGAATCTTTTTTATTATTATAAATATTACCATTTTTACTAGTATATTTTTATTTTTCCGGCGGAATTTACATGCACCCATATTTTCAAACCTTAGGTATGAATATTAACATAGATAAATTGTATATTTCAAATTGCTTTGATGCTTGACAGTACTCACATAGTCATATCTATTACCTTCATTCCTTTCGATTATGGCATTGAAAATATTCATATTAGAATATTTTTTTTTTAATTAAATTTTATATATTTTAGAAACAGGAGATGCAAACTTTGGTAATAACACTATGGCTGCTGTGCCATTAAAGGAAAATCCAAGTAATGGCAATGGCCATTGGTCAGCATACGTAATGTCTACTGATGACTTGGATCCAAATGTAGTCAGCGTTAGGGTAAATACATGTTCAAGATAATATAAGAATAAATAGGCAGCATTTATTAGGTTATAGCTTATTTTATCGTTTAAATATTTTTGACGATTTATAGATTACACCACCGAATAACTGCATTGTGGGACAGTGGGTATTTGACATTGACACCCGATCTGGACAAGAAGCGGCAATGTTTTCAGCTGAAGGAAATCCAATTTACATACTGTTCAATCCGTGGTGTCCAAGTAAGTTCCTTAGAATTGGTAATGTATAAAAAAGTAGTAGTTATATAGTATATATATATATTATATATTATATAGCTGCCCCACTCGGCACTCCATATGTTAAAGATTAGTTTAAAAAAAGTATATTTGTAAAAAGAAATATATAAATATTATGCCATATTTGTATTGCTCGTGATTAGGGCCCGGATTAAAATTAAATGCTCTTAAAACCATACAAATATGCTCTAAAAAATAGCCAAAAATGTCCTTAAAAAATGCATTTTACCTCAAAAATAACCTTAAAAATGCCATTTATATTTTTTGTTATATAATTTGGTATTTTAATTTAGAATTTATTATTAAAATAAATGTATTATTAATTATTTTATTAAATAAATAAAAAAAATTGGAAAAAAAGATTTGATGCTGCTAATGACACACGCATTTTGGGGGGCAATATTATCCGTTATAAACAGAGATATTAAATTATATATTAATAAATACGCTAAATTATTATAGACTTTTGATCAAATATGCATTAAAAACCATTTTATTGGAGTAAGATAATATTGTTATATATTAGGGGTCARGAACTTTTTTGTAGGAAAAAGTTACTAAAATATAGACAGTATCCGTATAGACTCACGTTTGTCCGCTTCGGCTCTTTCACTTCACTCGAAGTTGGCCGTATGGGCTCCGATTTGATATTAGTGGTATAGACGTATCGGCTCCTAATCAACAACATTTTCCTTCTCATTTAGTGGCTGAGGACTGACTACGGTGAGAAGAAATTCTCTATAGGCTTGGTTAAAAATGTTGTTGGCGCTCAATATAAAAAAATTGTGTTGATATTAAAATAATGGTGACTTAAAAAAAATTTGTAATTTGAACTTGAAGGAATCTTTTAATAACATTTGTTTTTGTGCAGCGGATGAAGTTTATATAAAGGACGATGCGTTGCGTGACGAGTACGTATTAAGCGAAGAAGGACTTATGTGGCGCGGAAGTCATAGCAGACAGAAAGAAGTCATGTGGAAGTACGGTCAGTTTCAAAAGAACATGCTAGAGAGTAGTTTTTTGTTATTGTTAAATATCAGACGGTTAGCACTTATACACTGCAGTGACCCAGTAAAAGTATCAAGAAGCCTATCGGCCGCGGTGAGTAGTAGTTGTCTTTTTTGAAATATGTTTTAGAAGGGTGTAAAATAAAAACTATAAGAATCATATTATAATATTTTGGTCAGTCACAATCATTGTTTAGATGTTTGGGGTTTTTTGTACATAGGTAAATGCTCCAGATGAGTTAGGAGTCGTTCAAGGCAATTGGACCGAAGACTTTTCTGGCGGCACTCCACCTATTAATTGGCTGGGAAGCGTAGACATTTTAAATCAATTCTTCAAAACGAAAAAACCTGTCAAATATGGGCAGTKCTGGGTGTATGCTGGAGTACTAACTACAGGTTATTATAATTTAAAAGTATCTTGAGATATTTGTCTACTTTTAATAAATTACCTCATTGAACCACTGTAGAACATGTTATTATGTCCAAATAAAACACTACATGAGTTCTGCACTCGTTACTGATTTYTGTTTATTATGGACTATTAAGCAACAAACATTTAAATTTAAACAATACATCGGATAAAGTATTCTTTTTTTGTTTAACGTTTACTTATTTCTTAATGTACTTGTATTTGGTTTAATAGTTTTCAGCTAATGAGTTTTGCAATGGGGATATCTAATATTAACTATATGAATTATAAATAGGAAAATTTAAAACTTAATTGTTATTTGCCTATCTTTAATCTAAAAATTACATGTCATATAATTATTATTGTGTGAATTTATAGTATGCAGAGCTATCGGAATACCTTGCCGTCCGGTGACTGCATATTGCGCAGCTCATGACACACAAAACAGTTTAACGATCGATTACTTAGTCGATGATGACGGAAAAATAATAGAAGAACTACAAACCGACTCTATTTGGTAAGTACTAATTGTGTGAATAATAATATGAAAATAATAGCGTTAGGTTTATAACACACGAATTAACTATAATGTAACCACTGTGTCACAAATTGCGGTTAATCGCAGGAACTATCACGTATGGAACGAGGTTTGGATGGCCAGACCAGATCTGAACATCTTGGACCGGAGCTGGCAAGTGATCGATGCCACACCACAGGAGCTGAGTGAAGGTCAGTTCAAATGTGGCCCAGCCAGCGTAACGGCCGTTAAAAATGGTGACATAAGAGCACCGTATGACACAGCGTTCGTGTACTCCGAGGTGAACGCAGATAAGGTATACTGGAGATACTATGGCATATCTCAACCAATGAAGCTGTTGAGGAAGGACACTGAAGCGTAAGTCTTGTCTATATTGTTCGAGCATAACAGTTGCGTAGGGGAGACCAGGGTAAAGCGCATAGGTTAACTTTATGTGTTAAAAAATGGTGTCCAAACTATTATTTTAATATCTATTTTTAAACACAATGTGCTTTGGGGAGATTAGGGGAGACTAGGGCAAAGCGCATAGGTTAACTTTATCTGTTAAAAATAGCGTTCAAACTAATATTTTAATAACTTTTTTTTAATATAACCATAATAAGACTTCTTAAGTTTTTTATTTATTCCTTCAAAAAATTCAATAAGCGCTCGATTAATAAAAAAAAAATGGACATTTTTTAAAAGTGGGATTTTATTCACTTTGCCCGGATACAAGCGCAAAGTGAAAACATATGTAAAGCAATAATAATGTAAATAAATAATGTATGTTAATCAATTTAATAATTGTATATTATGAATGCACATGCAATATTGATATTAATAAATTAACTCAAACTAAAAAACAAAATTTTTAAGTAATATTCAATTAAATTGTATAAAAAAAAACATAAAATATAAAATTCGTCAAACCTAGTAAAATAATAAAAATAAAATATATCCTAAAATTTAAAAAAAAAAACAATTTTTAAATACTGATAGGTAGGTATAATACACATTGTCTATTTAGGTACTATCATTTGTGTCTTCACAAAAGTCACACACAAAATATTGTATAGTATTTGTGTGATTCGTGATTATTCAATTCTAAAATTGTTTTTTTATCTGGTGTAAGGCGAACAACTCAACAAAAAATTTAAGCCATATTAAAAAAATGTCACCATTAGTCTACCCACTTGACGAACAGTAAACCTTAGAGCCAGGGGGTGCAGTAGGTATCTAATAATCTTTCTTACATTCTTTCTTTTGCAAATATAAAAAAGTAGGTATAAAAGAGCCAGCAGCGTTACAAAAGTAAATTACAATTGTTAACTTTCCCCTCTCGGCACTAGAAATTATAGCTACTTGTTTTTTTCCACACACTGAAAGTATTTTGGGAARTTTGTTAGTTGTAGTTGATATTCCTGTTCGTCCGTGTTATATACTCTAGTAGCATCAATATTATATTTTTGATGTTGTTCACCTAGSAGATTAAAAAACCGTTCAACTCGATAGCGATTGAAACCTCGAACTCGAGCTACCGACGTAGGTTCTAGAATTTAAAGCACAAAACTTTGATTTATTTTTAAAAAACCATATTAATCAATCATTTACAGCTGATTTTTTTTATCCCAACTATTAGGATATTGTATATTATTTAATTTAGCAAATGAATACACAAGATTTTTTAAATCATAATTAGTATTAGGTAGTATTAGGTARCCCATAAAACTCTCCGCCTATTTCTTTTAAATATTCAACAAGTTATGTCTCATGTGTAACTGAAAATATAGGTTGAAATTGTCCCAGTTGTTTATCGTTTCGGTTCGACTTAAGTCTTTTGCCTAATGTTGTAAACGGAATATTATACTTAAATGCAACAGTTGCTATCCTTGCCATATTTAAATTTTCTTCCGATCAATTACCCTGGTTTGTTTTTCTTTTATAATTTGACACCATCTAAATCAAATCAATTAATCAAATTACTATTAAGTATAATATTCAAGCACGTATCCAGGATCAATTTATGGGGAGGGGGGGTTTAAAATATTTTAAGTCTGTATTCCGATAAGATTGCAATAACATATTATAAATATATAACTACTTTAAAAATTTCTGGGGGGGGGGGTGAACTCCTAAATCCCCCCCTGTATACGGGCCCGGTTTATGAGTTAGAAATAATTACATGAATATACAAGCAAAGTGGATATTTCCACTTTGTCCTATTCACTTTGCCCAGAATGATTTTTTCTTAAATAAACATTATTTTTTTTTAGTATAAGTTTTTTTATTTAGGAATTTGTATTTAATAACTATAGAAACTTAGTATAATTATGAACATAATAGACTAAGTATTAAAAAGTTAATTTATAAATATTATTTAAAAAAGCTTGAATTCCACTTAACTTTTCGTTATGAAAATATGTTTGAAAACATCGTCCAGACAACGATCCAACATGGGAAGATTACCAATATCGTTTCTTACCTTGTCCAAAGGTGCTTTGTGATGCACCACTACTGCAATTTTCGTATTAATGAGAATATAAAGTATAATAGGCTGCTACTTTCTAAAACCTACAAAGGAAATGTATGTATAATAATTAATAGTGTATAATTTTATGGTGTATCTAATCTTTATCTAGTACTCATTTGGTGCTTTTGATAATTAAAATAAATACCTGTACAAATATTATGCTATTAGGTGAATATATAACTAATATATTGAAAAATAAATTCTATTCAGAGAATAGTACTATAGGTGCGTTTTTTTTATTTMRAGAGTTTGATTACTGACTGTATATTTTGCACCTGGCCTTTTATAGAGTAATAGATCTGGAATTTTTGTCATATTATTTAAATTAGTTTTTATTATTAATTTGTTTTTGTGTTTATTTATGTATATCAGAATCGGAAAACTTATTTGTACGAAAGCGGCTGGAAAATGGGAACAGGAAAACATTACGGAAAACTACAAATATCCTGAAAGTAAGTTACACATAGGTATGATTCGTAATATATGTTAAGGAATTAATCTTAAATTTTTTTTTATTTATGAACTATTATAAACCAAGTATTAAATAATATATCGAAATACATCGAAATAACTACAAATCAAAATAGTGAATGATAAAACATTAAAACATCCAAGCATAATTGCATAAATTAGTCAACGTTCAAAACGCAATATTTTCAGACTGTATTTTATTGCTGGACTGCATATTATGAATCGGATAGACACTCAACCAAAGCAATGGGTTTACGTATATACCCGTATATAATTTATATACAATGGCGCAATCAGCAGTGGTTTGTAGGTTATGATTCCCCCAAATTGTTTTTAAAAGTCAAATTTCAAAGTGGAGACTTTTTTTTGTTAGTTAGTTTTTTTATGTTTCTACTTCTTCACCCGAAAATGATCCTAGTTACGTCACAGTATATATTTCGTAACCACTTAGTGAAATCGATCTTTTCGTGAAGAGATGATCATTTTGTGAAATGGAATCAAGTTTTTTACACTTTGTGAAATTCAAAAATATTTCACGAAATGATCAATCAATTTTAACATCGTGTAATTTTTAGGTTAGATTATGAGGTCAGTAAAAGTGCTTGTCAAACCAAAAAATGTGTTTGTTATAAAGGTAGTCTAAAATGTAACAGTCATTGTCACAATTAATTTTCCTGCTCTTATAAATATATGTTCAGTGTTCACATTACAGTTAATAAATTAATATGATATAAATAAACTTTATTACTATACATAATTATTTAAGTTAAATCTATAAGGGTAGAATATAAGTTGTTAAATGTTGTATTTCAGTACACAAAGTGAACGACCACTTTATGAAAAAAATTACACGATTTGAGTGACCATTTCGTGATATATTTTTGAATTTCACAAAGTGTAAAAAACGTGTTTCCATTTCATGAAATGGTCATCTTTTCATGAAAAGATCAATTTCACGAAGTTGCTACGACATTATATATTACCACACTCATTTTATTTCAATTGTATTATGATATACATTATTCCAATAATCCAATGTATTAAGGCCTTTTTTTTTATCAATATAGTATAATTTTTCGCAGTTATTATACTCATGTAAAGATTTTCGTTTCAACAATAAGCTTATAATATTACATCATATATAATAATACATTTTTCATTTATACAGTTTATTGTCTATTTGTATTTAGTCACTTTACATTTTAAAAATGACGACATTTTCTTCATCTTATTGTTTTTATTTTTAAAGAATATTTCATATCCAAGTAGACAAAATTAAAAATTTGTAAATATACTTTAAAAATCTTTTTCTTTTTTTTTATTGGGGTTGAGACATCAAGGATTATTATCCTGTGGAACTATGGGGAAGAAACTGTTGGTTGGAAATCGTGGATGTTTGGCAGAATTTCGAATGGGCACCCGTAGGTTTCTGCCATGCCCGGATGAGGGGTGGTGGCTTCTCTTTCCAGACAGCGTAAACTGTACGGAAAGTGATGTCACCTATGACAGGGATTCGATCCGGTCACTACACCCCCTTGAAAAATATTTGTTTAATAATTTGCTCTGTTTGGCATATAAATATGATTCCCCTGTAAAATGTTAAATTGTATGTTCTTTTAACTTTTTTTTTTTTTAGAGTCAACTGAAGAAAGGATAACTATGCATAAAGCATTAAAGCAAAATAATAGCATATTTAGCCGTTATTACTTGAATGAGGATTTCAATGAAATCAAATTTGACTTTGAGTTAGTTGATGATATTATTGTGGGAGAAAACTTCAGGTTTGAATTGAGTTATTTTATTAACTTTGTACAATCACCAACTATTCATAGAAAGTGTTTTAAGTTTGTGAATTTTTGCATTTTAAACGTAAATACTAATCAAATAAAAAGTAAGAACATTTGAATAATTCTTTTTCTAAATTCTCCAATATTATTTTATTAATAGATTAGTATTCTGTAAAAATCAAAAATGAAACATTATTATTATTTTTAAAAAATTACACACTAACGTATGTAAGTAATTGATGTTGAATAATAAAACATTTAATCGACCACATCAGGTCTAAAATATTTTATTTAAGTCCAACTCAACTAGGCTCCTTAGTTTTTATGAATATCGTTCACAGTTGACATTTCACTATTTTATTAGAGTTTGATTCGACCCATACTGATATCTGATATTTGTAAAAACTAAAAATAAAATATTTTTATAATATACCTACTGTAATAAAATATACGAGTTGCGGTCAGAAATGATTTTTAAGATAAGCACATATTATAACAGTTGYGGTCATACACTTATTACTTATCTTTAAATTGTATATATAAAATAAACAAAATTGTAAAGCCCGATGTAGTTTTGAATATTGCATTTTACGATAAAAATTTTTCTTCTGTTTATTATACACATAGTATACATACATTTTATATATATAATAGATTAAATTGTATAGGCTGATGGTAGTTTTTAATATTGCATTCAGTATGCCTGCAGCTCAGTAAGCCTGCGGTAAAAATTAATTCGTCCAGTAATATAATGTTAAGTGAAAAATTAAAAACACAACGGGTAGTAAAATATTATAAATTTCGGTTTTATCGTATTCTAGCAAATGACGTGTAACGATGAGTATGTTGTGAAAAACATGTAATGTGGCTATAAAATATGATGTTAAAGGTCTCATTTGTGAACAGAATACCACACATAATCACGAACCAGATGATCACCAATTAATGGTTCGGAAAATGTTTAGTAACTGTGTTAAATGTAAGGCAGTGAAACAGTTGAGCGAGCATCCCTTCAAAGTTATTCATTCTGAGATCTAAAGACAGTACTCACTGTACTTAATTTAAACATAAAACCAAGTACATACTAGGTATATATTTTGAGTGACCACAACTAGTATGTAACCTTTTTGTTGATTGACMGCAACTAGAATGTAATTTTTAATTTTGACAACTACTAGTAATCACCGAAATATACTAATATACACCATTCATAACAAAACTAACTGAATCCGTGAACTTTTTAGCCCGTTAAAAATCTTACATCTTATAATATGTTTCAAACTGTGTGTTAATTTCGTTTCCTATGATTAAACTTGTTGTATATTTTTATACATATAGATAGTAATCTGTTAAAGCATATTAAGTAATAATCTTACAACAATAACCAAATTAGTTTTTTTTTCTATAGTGAAAGTCTGAAAATTATAGTATTTAATTGAATGATATTTATTGATATTAATTTAATTATTTGGGCCTATCAATATTTAACTTAGCTTATCTTCTGGCATTAATCTAATAAATTTCTGTGCCAAATTTCGTCGCATACGGTCCAACCGTATCTATATATCTATATATATATTTATATTATATATATTATATATATATGTATATATATATTATATATCTCTATATATATATATATACATAATAACGAAATATTGTGATACATCGGATGACGTTCATAGTTCATACCTATGTAATACAGGAACAACGATTAAGCTTACATTGCTTTTTGTTTCCATTATTTATTAAATAGTTTTTTTTTAAATAAACTTAGGGTTGCGGTGAGAATCACGAACAAAGGTCATAAAGATTACACAGTTAAAGTGATATTGCGTGTCGATACGGTTGATTATACCGGAAAAAATGGATCTCTCGTCACCAAAGTCGAACAACAAAAAGTAGTGCTTCATGATCCAGGTAAGCGCCAGTGCGCCACAATTATGAAATATTACTATTGCAGATCAAAGTATGCAATCTATATAAACAATAAAGTAAATGTATAGTGATGAATTTTCATGAATATGATAAGAATAAGCATTTGTAAATAATAAAAATATAGTAACATGTTATGGTTTCAAATTTTCAGCATAGATAGGGGTTGCATAGTCTTATTTGTTRTTTTGTAATAATGATAAACGACAAAAAAGTAAATAGCATTGAATTTATTAATAGACCTTGCACCATGTATTTGTATACTGTGTTTCAAAAGAGAATAATCAGTCTGCCAGCCAATTATCGTTAGTATTGTACATCTCCCACAAATTCCCATGTGTTAGTTAACGTGAACACGTGGTTCTTGACAGCCCAATCATTCAAGATGCGCAAAAAGTGAAAGTTCTCCTTTAAGATATAGTATAGTGCACACAAAGTAATATTACATTGCAACACATATTAATTTGTTCTTGATTAAGTTATTTTGATAAAATAAGTAATAACTAAAAATTCTGAATGAATATAATTGTTCATATATGGTGTTTAATGTAGTGTACCTACCCGGAAAAAAAATTGGATTCTCATTTATAAAACATTCGATATAATATTTTTCAGAAACAAATAAATAGCAAATACTAGTAAATGTATATCTAAAGTTCGCAAATAAAAAAGCGGGTAAGTGGGTATCGCTCTGCTGTACATTAGGGGGTGGGGTGGAACTCTGACTAGGGTAGGTTAAATTTGAATGCAATGAAGGTATCATTGTATACGAAAAACGATTCTGAACGGAGATGATTTGTCAGTCTAGGATATATTATATTTAAATATTGACATATTCTATTTTGAAACAAATATTTTATTTTTCAATTAGGACGCATTTTGCATGAGGCGTGGTTAATCAATGTTTCCAAAAACATTGCATGTAGTTATCATAATTCATAATACCTTATATTATCATAGATATACATATTTGTACTTGGTTTGAGGATAAATCGTTATCATTACGCGATTTCATAAAAATTTAAAACTCAAACGCTCAAAACATTTTTCCTATAACGACGCTTCAAATTTTCTCTATAGCTATTTGAAGCAAAACTTATGGAAAAATTAGTTTTGAATTTTTTAACCTTTGATATAAATACAAACAATTTTATGAATTTTGAACTACAAAATAATTTGCAAATATTCATGGTTTTGACGAATTTTTGTCAATATTTGAACTTCACATGCTAATAAAAAAATGTTGTGCCTATTTATTCTTATAATTTTTTAATCACTATAAGAATAACTTATGAGGAACTTTGTATTATTATGACTCTTGGTCATCCAACATTTTTTTACCGATACTTCAATAAAAAATTTTCATAAAAATCGAAAATTTCAGTGGTCTATAAATAACTCAAAAAAAGTCAAACATTTTTTAAAATTAAACTGTATATAGATAACACTAACATAAACATTTGGTGAAAATTTCAAGTATTTACAATGATTAGTTTTTGAATTAGGTACAACCATATAAAAAAAATCGATTTTTTTGAAAACTGTTGGAAAATGTTTACTTTTGACCTCTATAATGCACCAAGGATATTCACTTTTCCATCGGAAATCACCCCCAAAGTTTGAAATTGAAGCATTATTTCGAGTAGTTATGCTGTACACAGACACAAAAAAAAATATACACATAATTCTAAAATCAATACATTAATCACTTCGTTCAGAATCTAAAATATTTCTATTTTTAAATTGGAAATAATTTGTAAATTTTCGAGATGTTTTAAATTAACAAAACCTAAGGAATTCTGAAATCGTACAAAGTGTTTTTGGATGAAAAATTACTATTCGGCCATCCAAAAATTTTACCCGATTTCTGTATATGACTTATGGGTTTATAAATAAAATTTTGAACAAATACTTAAATCTAGAAAATCTTAATTTACTATGTAAACATATTTTTATACGTAACATATTCAACAGGATCAAACGTTGAATATGTCCAAACCGCATTGACGTATTTTGATTATGGCAATGACGTTAAAAGCCAAAATGTTTTCAACATATCATGTCTAGCGAGCGTGGTTGACACAGATTACGAGTATTTCGGACAGGACGATTTTAGAGTCAGAAAACCAGATATTGAATTCGAAGTGAGTGTTATTACATTGACATAAATTTAAAAACATAATGAGTTTAATAATTTTATGTAAAATGAATCATTATAATAACATTACATTACCTAATTTATTTTTTATCAGATGCACGATAAACCTACCATGTCACGTGAAGTGCGGGCTATTGTTAAGCTTAGAAATCCGTTGCCCCTGACTTTAAAAGATGGAAAATTCTTCATCGCTGGTTCATCGTTGCCTAAAACTCTGGAAATCAAAGTTGGGTAAGTAACTTCCCTCAATGAAAATTTTACATAAACATGCAAAAAGTGTAAGAAAATATATCATTATATTATTATAAGTATTGCATTATAGCTGACAACAGGAATGGGCAAGTTATATAAAATTATCTACCAAGATACACGTTACTGAAAAAATCTAAATACAAATGTAACTTGAATTAAATATCTAGATACACTATTTTATAAGTGTTTTAGAGACTTAAATAATATAAATATTATAATTTCAATGCTTTACTTGGGGGACGGAGTACCGCAAATAATTTTTCAGAAATTTTAGCGTGAGATAACATAATAAATGTTCTTACCTTTAGGGATTCATGACAAATTATTTTGTCAATGTATGGATTATTTCATAACCATTAATAAGTTAATTATATATTATTATTTTACAGTTATCACTAATACCTATTTGTTATTAATTTTAGATTTTAAGTTTGTTATTTTTTAATTTAATTTTATAASTTAAAAATTAAACTGCCTTTCTGTTTATTACTAGAGTACAGTACTTAAACAGCCCAATTGATATTGTTAGGTATATAATATACGAATGGGAATGGCATTTCGTTTATACAATGGCTGAAAAAATAAATCACTAAATGATAGGTACCTATATTAGAATAATAATAATAAAAAAAAAGATGGAATTAAGTACCTAGTTAATAGGAACTCAGACACTCAGTARCTTATTCAAAATTATGCTTATATATTTATACGATTTAAGGAAGGGAATTAAGTGTTGTGGGGCCAAATAACGTTTAAAAAGTGATGAGAAGCTCTTATTTAAAAGTAAACAGACTTCTCATACTTTAATTTTGCATAATTTTACTACCTATACGTTTATTCATACTAAGCCTGATTATGGCATTAGAATTTAAAAAAATAAAAATAGAAGGTAAAGGTAAAAACTATATATATTTTTTAAAACAAATAAATATGAAATCTTGGTTTTTATCTTATTATTGTTGTTTATATATAGACATAAAAATATATACCTACCAATTAGGTTACAATTACATAAACATTGTGCGCTTTTTAAGTATCAAAATGAAAATAATGAGCTTTTTAAAGATAATTAATACGTAATTTTAATAAAATGATGGTTATAATTTCAACTAGTAGAGAAAACTGTGAAACATGGAATGGACCAATTATGAATTAATGCTATAAAATAATTAAGAGGACGCCACATCCACATGCGTTGTCTCCGTCTTACAAACGTAGAATTTAACAAAAACTRTAGGTACTTGCGTGGGACAATTGTTTTCCTTCAGTGTTTGTTATAGAATTATAAGAATTCCACAACGCATAGGTAAGAACTTTATTTGTGTCATAGTCGTTATTTTTTTGATTAAATATAATTAATGTTATAGACTTAAGAAAATACAATTCTTTTTGTTTTTTCATTTAATTATTAAAAATCATTGGTTTGTGCCATCAAAAAAATAACGGCGCTATGACAAAAATAAAGTTTTTACCTATGCGTTGTTGAATTCTGATAATTCTACTAAAAATACTAAAGGAGGACAGTTCTCCTGCACGAGAGCAGTTTTTGCTATCTTCTACGTTTGTAAGACGATGACAACTAATTTGGGTGTGGCGTCCTCTTAATTTTGAATAACAATTAACAAATCTTTTACAATAAGATTCTTAAAATGATTTTGATTATTCTCTTGAAGAGTTGTTAACTTATTACTATATTTAAAAAATGTTATTGTCTCAAAGGAATATTCAATGTTTATTATAAGGATATGGCATGATTTTCTTTCTCAATTATTATATTGCAATATAATCAATTGGCATTAATAGATAACACTATTTTATAACTTGGATCTAGCTGAGTTAGCTTTGTTGTGAGTGGTTCTAGTATATATAAGTAATAAGAGTATAACTGTAAATCGCAGACATAAAAAAAATTGTAGGTAGCTCAATGTATTAAAATGTTCAATCAGGCATACCACTCATTTCACACATAGACTTTATAAAATTAGTTGCCTATACAATATTTCTAGAAAATGAACGAATAAACCTCTATGAAAATTTTTTTTTTTATCATTTTTATTTTGGACATTTATTCATTAATGATGTGTTATTTTACTTTATATTCGGCAGTAAAGTCAGTGCAAAGAAAACGACCAGTGTACCGTTCAAATTCACTCCCCAATTCACCGGAAAGCAAGTAATTTCTGCAAAATTTACGTCCAAACAACTGCAAGATGTCGATGGTTATTTACAATTTATGGTGTAAGACGGACATATGGATGGTATTGTCCTATTCTAATTCAGTCATACCAATTGAATAAGACTCATATACATAGGTATACAAAGTGTGTGAATTATTTTTAATTTTATTTATTGCTCTAAGTTATATAATATTTATTGTTACAATTTATTTTCTTCAACATACAGCTAATATGCCATTTACTTAATTTATCGCTACTAGAGAGTTAAGGAACAAAAACAGAAATATACTGAATTTAAAATATTTTATGTTACAAATCTTGTCAAAATTCGATTTGTTGTTATAAGAAATACATAACTGATGCTATTTAGCAATCTACTTAAAATCTTAAAATGCATCGATAACCTACAAAGCTTTCAAATCAATTATATGTTTATAGTTATGATTATCTAATATTATGATATTTTGCCCATCATTTAAGAATACACTTTACTTCATTATCAAGATAAGATTCACATATTTTACTGTAATTGTTAAAAATTAGCATATAATTAATTAAACGTAAACAAATATATTTGTATATGTAGTGGTAGGTTTTGACACGTTTTTCTCGTCAAATTTAATTAATGATTAACATCTTTGTAGGTATACATTTTATATTAAATGATTATGTGGAAATAAATACAAATTTTTATTTTATTTAGAAATTATATGTATATTTATATTTATTAACTAAATTATTGTTAGTAAGTTAATAAATAAGTCAAAAATAATTAGTAATTAATAAGTCTAACGTTAGTAATTAAAATGTACTTCCAAAACTATTAATTAATTCAATAAAAAATAAACAATGTTAAATTGTGTAAGAAAAAACAACGTTATACATTTTTCACGTACTTAAAGGCTATATTAGCAATAATATGTCATCTTCAATATTTATGTTTACTTAATATTTTAGCAACGAATGTTATAATTTAAATTGCAACATTTTTTTTGACTGACTTTAGCAATTCTCATAGTTATTATTTCGATTAACAAACTTTTTTTACTAATGTCTAGGTGTGCAATAATTTTTTTCATTGTTTATTTATATTACTTATTCATACAAACCCTCTGTGCATTTGATTATTTAAACCGCTTTTCTACAGACCGTTTCAGAGAACTAGCAAATACTATACATTCGAATACGGGAAGTTCTGTACGTTCGTGAAGTTGGCCCACCTAATTACTCCAAATTTTTCGAAATCTATGCCATTATTTTGCAAGTTATTTGCAAGTATTTGCAAGTCTAATTTTAGAATTTGCAAGTCCAAACTTTACCCGTGAAATAAAAATATTAAAAGTTGGGCCAACTAAACGTAGCCCACCCAAGTTGTCCCAGAGCTTCAAAGTAGGTAT